CCTGCTGGCTCCTGCGGGTGACAGCCTTATGCTGTGCTCGGAGAACTGGGTGTTCTCCTGGTTGCAGAGACCACCACATCCCAGCACATGGTGATCCCCTCCATCCTACGTATCAGGCAGTGTTGAACTGTTGGCTGCATACTCCTGCTTGCAGTGCCTCTGCTCTGACTCCTGACACTTCCCTGGCCCATGTTGCATCTCCCCGAGTCCCTCCCTGACTCTCCCTGTCCCTTGGGCACCCCTAAACGTGGGGACAGTTCCTGCCCCTCTGTTGCCACAGCGTATTCCCCTTGGCTGGTCTTGTTTGCTTTTCCCAAAGGAGCTCTCCCTGTGCATTCCGCAGTCCATGCCTCAACCCAGACCTCTCTCTAGGAGGAAGAAAGGAATGTGTGTGTGTACTTAATGTATCGTAATTTTCATATTGCTTTGTAATCATTGTAATTATTTTAAATGGATGTATGCTGTTACGCAGTTACACCATAATTAGCCTCACCATTTCCCTTACAATTCTGCACATGAATCTTGAGTTTGAGGTTCAGCGGAGTGGAAAACTAGTAGATTTTTTTCTTCTCTCAAGTTCAGTGCTCAGTGCTTCCATACAAAGACAGAAACCTCTGTGGGATGCGTGGCAGTGCTTCTGTAGGTCGTCTTCTGCAGTCAGCAGAGAGGCCCACTGCCGCCGCCTACATTCAGCGCATAGACTACTGACACGCTTCTCAACGCCTGCCCTGGTTCCGGTCTTTGACTGTCCCTGAGCCAACCTCTTCTCCGTTGTTAGAAAATGAATTCTTGTGTCCCAAAGGCCCCAAAGAGGTCTCAGGTTTGTCACACTATTGTTTTTGCACACATCTGAAAAAGCAACTTTCCTAGTCAAGGCAGACTTTCAAATGCACTGTGAGGTTGGGGCTCTTCCTACCTTGACAATGTTCTTGGCGCATCTCACTTGCAGCTCAAGTACTTGGTTGAAACAGGAAGCTGGCTTATTTTGAATCTGTAATTCTTGAAGTGACCTTGGAAATTGACGATGATATTTTCTTTGCTTTAAAATAAATCTCTTCCTGTTTTATGTTGGAAAGACAGAGACAGAGATCACCCATCTGCTGGTTTCCTGCTCGGGTCAGTCCTGAACCAAGAGCCTCCATCTGGCCTCCCAGGTTGGAGGAAGGACTCCAAGTCCTTGAGCGTGGCCTGCTTTCTCTCTGGTGTGCTGCATGAGCATGCGCGGGGTCCTTCTCTGGGCCAGCCTGTGGTTCACGGGTCCGAGGAGTCCTTCCACAGCCAGTCAGCCATGTCTAGGGAAGCGCCCATTCGCAGCTCTTTGCAGCTCCTCGCTGCTGGAGAACTCGCCTTTTCCCAGGAAGCTGAGGCAGTCAGCGATTCTGTTGGGGCAACACTGGCGTTCTGCTTAACTATCTTTTGTGTTTGTTTAATGAAGCTGTATTTGGGTTTTTGACCTACTGATGTGCCAATTTCTGCCTCATTTTCAGTCATTTCCTGGAGCCTGCTACCAAGTTGAGAAGCTGATGTCCAGCCTCAGCTGACTCGTGCTTTGAATCTTCCCTCACTCCTCAATCAGACTAAGTACTCTCCTGTGTGAGGAGAGCTGTCTTTTATCCTTGGTGTACACCAAGCACTCAGCCAATCTCTGTTCCCAAGAAACAAACCAACGGAAAGCAGACCACGTTTCTGCTGAGTGCACAGCAGGCAGCTGCGTCCTGGCCAGGGGCCCAGAAGGCCTGTGCTGCTTGGTCCGACATTGGCCTGTCCTCTGCCATTTGTTTCACAGTTGGTCTTTTCTCTCATTTCCCGTAGCATGTTTTCTGTGTAATCTACTATAACGGCAAATTGTTTTAACATTATAGGAAAGCCTGGTAGGTACTGCCAGTGGATAGCTCTCTCCTGCCCTTTTCCTGCTCGTTGTCTGTCTACTTTGAGGCTCTGTAGTCCTTTCTACTTTGAGTCTGCATTGTCCTGTGGCCAGGGGGCACTTGTGCCAGATACTGTCCATCAGGCCGCCAGGCTTGCTGTGCACACCACCTCTTCTCTAGGTAAACGAGCAAGGATCAGTGACAGCTACCACTCTAACAGCTGTGTTTGTAGCTACTGGAGATGCAGGTTCTGTTTTTGAAAGGACCCCGAATAGATCACCCTCTGAAATCACACCTGCTCTCAGGGATGGGTTCCCAGCTTAGTGCCCGTGGTGACTCCCCCTTTCCCAAAAGTGAGTCAGGAGATGGATGGGAAGGTGGAGAGCGGTGTCCGCTTACAGGCTGATGACACGGCAGCTTCCCGTGTGCTGCGTCTCTCATCCCCTCCCCGCCACCATCTCTGTCCCCCGAACAGCAGTAAAAGCCCCTGAACGTAGAAACTGAAGATCGAGGCTCATCCTACTTGCCGCCTCCCCTGCAAAGTGCATGCCACGAGTGGGCTTTACCCCTTGAACAAGTATGACGAACCTTGTTACAAAAAGCGGGTGCAGGAAGTCCAGGGAGCGTGGACCTGACCCGGGATGAACCTGAGCAGCACGATAAAGCTGTGTCCAACCCTTCCTCAGGACGCAGACAACAGAGAGGCCCCAGGGACACAGCAGACAGACCCAGTGCCCAGTCTTGGCACAGAATTCCACCAGAGCACACATTTGTTAGAGTAAGAATCCCAATTGTACGGTAATGAAATATGGAACTAAGCAAATACAGTAAAAGCAAACAACATCTGTCCAGATAAGTAAAATTGAAACAGCGAAGAACTTAATGGCCCCCGAACTGAATTACTGACATAGAAAAAGACTGTAGGAAATTATGGAGAAAGCAAAAGGAAAAAATGCAAAGCGACGAAAGCAGTGTAAGTTATAGGAAGCAGACCTGGGCCAAAGGTAAAAGGCCCAAAAATGTCCTTGTGGATATAATGGAAGAAACTTGAAACAAATCAAATTACCAATAGGTGAAGCTGATTCATTGTTTTAAAGGCAGGAATTTTTCAAGTATTAGCCTAAGTGCAGTATTAATATTCAAATAGAAAACTTAAAATTGAAACTTGTAGCTAAAATCTGTCAAAAAAATTTGTTTTTTTCCAATTCTTAGGACATGCTTTTAGGAAATTCTCACTTCTTGTTTTTGTTTTTTTAATGTAGCTTGAGTAAATTTTTTTTTCATGCTGCTTCATTTAAGAAATTATTTTATTTGAAAGAGTGATAGATTGATCTTGCATTGCTAGTTCATTCTCCACATGGCCGCACCTGCTGGTGTGTGGCCACTGGAAGCCAGGAGCCAGGAGCCAGGAACTCACACTCCTGTGGATGGTAGGGCCCTGAACACCTGGGCCATCTCCTGCTGCCTTGCCAAGCACGTCTGCAGGGAGCTGGGCAGAACTGGGATTCACACTGGCAGCTGGGTGTGGGGATGTGGGCATCCAGACTGGCAGCTTCACCCACCACCTTCCAGAGATCCTTCCAGCCTAAGTATAGAGTTAAAGTTGGTTTAAAGTGTCTATGTTGCACCTGCAGGTTAGATTTTTGCATTTTTCTTTGGACCAAATTAATTTTAATTAAAAAAAGGAGAACTTGAAAGGTGTAGTCCAAAAGCTATGTGCAACAGTGTAGGGAACACCATCTAAGCCAGCCGGGACTCAGGTCAGGGAGTCTAGCTTGCCACCTGGCGTTTCAGCTACTCCGACTGCCGCTCCAGGCGCTTGTCTTTGTCATTTGTTTGAAGTACGATGGGCTTGGACGCAGGACACCCCCTCACCTGTATATCAGAACTGGGTTGGAGAAGCTCCTGCCAGTCCTGCCAGTCCTGCCAGTCCTCTTCCTGCATCCCTCCCCTGGCAGGGTTAGCAAGAGGCGGGGAATGCATCCCTGACTGGAAAGCCAGCGGGAGTTGTGTCATAAATGAGTACGTCCAAGAGTAAAAAGGATTCTCCCAGCATCTTCCTGGGAAAGTTAGTGATGCTGCTCACTTTTCCCCCAATTATTTTTCACCTCAACTGTTGTATCATGAGGTACTCCCCCTTCTTTTGGTGATTATGGTGGGTTAAACGATCTTCAGTGGAATACTGTTTTTATTACTATTTATTATTAAATTAGTATAGGACAGTCCCAACATGGCTAGATTTTTAAATTTTTGTGTTTTAGTCCTTAGTCAATGCAAGGTCATTGTATTGTGTGGTGTAGACATTTTAATCCAGTGTGAATTTCAGATATGTATGTTGCAACAGCTATTTGAAAAAAAATAAGATTGGATAATTTTTTAGATCAAACAAATGGAAACCAAGTAAATTATAGTAATCACTGTTTAAAAATATAGTAATTGACACAGACTGTGAGTGATTAGTACCACTTAAAATGCTAATTTATTTCCAAATAGGTAGAAATGGAGGTAGTTTGTCTTCTGCAAGAAGTTTCAACTATTCTCATCTCTTTGCCCATTTATATAACTATCTACCCTGTTACAAAGAAACTTATCTAGCGAGGCTCTTTTTTTTAGCTAAAATAGTAAAAATATATTTTTACTCAAGACCCATTATAGCATTGTGACATGTTACCTTTGTCACAAAAATAAATCTTACTTCCGTAATTTTCTCTTTCCTGACATAAGCGCTGTCTTAGCAATGGCTTGATGCCTCGTGACCACCTGAGGATCGTCATGTAGCGGGTCCCTTGGCATTAGAATGTCAGTATCGCTGCTGTGTGCCAGATACACAGCATGGGCATGAGCAGTCCAGTTTTGAGAGGCCTGGCTTACAGCTTTGGTCTCTCTGATAAAGAGCATAGCGTTCTAGTTGTGCACACCAAGGCCTTTGTATAAATATTTGAATCAGTTTTGATTGGCTAAAAATATTTCAATCAGTTTTGATTGGCAACTGTTTTAAATTTGCCACAATGTTAGAAAACAGTGTTATTGAATGTAGACATTCCTCAGACAAGAGATCCCACTTCTCAACAGTTAGTTGGTGTAGCTCTGATTTTTACCAGCTGGTCTTTATTCCTTTTTGTTTTCTAACAGAAATCCTAGAGGCTGGTATTAAAGGAACTTCAGAATCCCTTAAAGGTGTGAAACGCAAGAAGATTGTAGCTGAGAATCACCTGAAAAAAATACCAAAATCCCCACTGAGAAATCCTCTTCAGGCAAAACATAAACAAAATACCGAGGAGGCATCTTTCACCCTTCTCCAGAGCGCTCCCGAGTCACACAAGAAGCAGAGTCACCTTTCTGGAAAGAGCGGCAAGCAGTGCATCAAACAAAACGGAGAAGCCCCCGGGGTGCCGGCCGAGGCCGCGAGGTCCAACGCCTCCGTCTCCCCGAAGAAGCCCCTGCCTGTCCAGCATCCAGCAGAATTGCGCAGGTGGAAGTCTGAAGGTTCCAACCCGGCCAGGTTGGGTGTCCCTGATGGAAAGGGGCACTCAAGTGCAGCCAGGACTGACAGCAGTGAATGCCTCGCCCCTCGCTGTAGAACGCCCTCCCCTCCATATACCACGACCGCGTTTGATGTTTTACTGAAAGCAATGGAGCCGGAACTCAGCACCCTGTCACAAAAGGGCTCATCTTGTGCAATGAAGGCAGAAAAAGTAAAGCCAAATAAAACTGCACGATCTCCTTCCAGATTAAAAAACAGTTCACTGGATGCCCCCAGTCGGACTTCACAAGACTTGCTGGCTGAATCCCAGCCTTCCCCTGGTACCTCATATGCAGCACATGTGTCGGCTGCCCAGCAGAAGGAACAGGTGGCAGTTCAGTCGGTGTCTCGCTCCTACAGTCCACACGAACACTTTGTAACCAAGTCCAGCCAACATTACCAACAGCATCCTGCATGTCTAAATTTTACCGCAACCCGAACAACCCTGCAAAATCAAGAGAACGCCAAATTAGAGCAGGTTTATAACACCGCAGTGACGTCATCTGTAGGTCTCCCTTCTCCTTCCAGCAGAACTCAGGTCACTCTTCAGAACCAGCACCTGGAGTCCTCTTTGCCTTTGTCAGCGAGCCCAGCCGCTGCCACCCAGTCTCCCCCCATGCCAGTTTATAACTCCGTTGTTAATCAAAGTGTAGAGCAAATGTGCAATCTTCTGAAAGATCCGAAGCCAAAAAAGCAAGGAAAATACATCTGTGAGTACTGCAGCAGAGCGTGTGCAAAGCCCAGCGTGCTTCTAAAGCACATCCGCTCGCACACGGGAGAGCGGCCCTATCCCTGTGTGACCTGCGGATTCTCCTTCAAGACTAAAAGCAATCTGTACAAGCACAAAAAGTCCCACGCCCACACCATCAAACTGGGTCTGGTCTTGCAGCCAGATGCAGGCGGCTTGTTCCTGGCCCAGGAGTCCCCCAGAGCACTTAGTATCCACTCAGACGTGGAGGACAGTGGAGAGAGCGAGGAGGAGGCTGCCACGGAGGAACGACAGCACGAGCCCAGTGCCATGGAGCTGCAGCCAGTGCAGACCGTGAAGAGGGTGTCAAGTTCTGAGGCTTTGCCGATGTCAAGTTCCATCCCAAGCCGTGCAGACCATGCAGCAAATGACTTCTCACCGCAGGACAGATCTTCAGAGTCCCAGGCCATGACAGAGTTACCCAAAGTTGTGGTCCACCCCATCACCATGTCCCCTGCAAGAACTGACCCCCCAAAGGTTGTCCCCCTCAAGCCGGAACCTGGCAGCAGTGCCCAGAAACAGAAGGACCTCCAGGCGCCACACTCAAGCCCCTTTGAGAAGGATGAGAAGGCCGGCCGGAAAGGGGACGCAGGCCAGCCAGAAGGCAGACAGGACTCTCCCGTGGGAACTGCCCACGCCCAGCTCCAGAGGCAGCAGGCGACTGACTGCTCCCAGGAACAGCAGGGGAAGCTGCTGCTGAGTCCCCGCAGCTTGGGGAGCACCGATTCTGGCTACTTCTCACGTTCCGAGAGTGCTGACCAGACAGTGAGCCCACCAACCCCCTTTGCCAGAACGTTCCCCACCCTGGAGCAAGACTCCACCAAAACTGCTGGGCCGCCTGGGTCCTGCAGTAGTGCACCGGCCCCCTCTGCTTTACTGCCGGGCGAGAGAGCGCAGCTTTTGCCAGGACAGATGCGCCCACCATTGGCAACCAAAACCCTGGAGGAGCGGATCTCCAAGCTGATCTCGGACAACGAAGCCCTGGTCGACAATAAGCAGCTGGACAGTGTCAAGCCCCGAAGAACGTCTCTTTCACGCCGGGGCAGCATCGACTCGCCGAAGTCGTACATATTCAAGGACTCCTTCCAGTTTGACTTAAAGCCGATGGGCCGGAGGACGAGCTCCAGCTCAGATATCCCCAAGTCCCCGTTCACCCCGACGGAGAAGTCCAAACAGGTGTTTCTTCTGTCGGTCCCTTCCCTAGACTGCCTGCCTATTACCAGAAGCAATTCCATGCCCACTACAGGTTACTCAGCAGTTCCTGCCAACATCATCCCTCCCCCTCATCCTCTGAGAGGAAGCCAGTCATTTGATGACAAAATTGGCGCACTCTATGATGACGTCTTTGTGTCAGGCCCCAACACCTTGGTGCCAGTTAGTGGGCATCCCCGCACACTCGTCAGACAGGCAGCAGTAGAGGACTCGTCGGCAGGGGATGGGCAGGCCCTTGGTCCCGGGCAGTCGCTGGAGGAGGGCTTCCAGGCTGCCAGCGAAGGTGGGGCAGCACCCAGAGGCAAGGCTCCCGCCGCAGGCTCCCATTCCGAAAAGAAGAAGTCCCATCAAGGGCGGGGGACGATGTTTGAGTGTGAAACCTGCAGAAACAGGTACCGAAAGCTAGAGAATTTTGAAAACCATAAGAAATTTTATTGTTCAGAGTTACACGGACCCAAAACCAAGGTGGTCCTGAGGGAGCCGGAACAGAGCCCTGTGGCCAGCAGCACGCAGCCGCAGATGCTGCACTACCGAGTGGCCGGTTCCACGGGCGTCTGGGAGCAGACGCCGCAGGTCAGGAAGAGGAGGAAGATGAAGAGCGTCGGCGATGACGACGAGCTCCAGCAGAACGACAGCGGGTCTGCGGGGCAGACCTGCGAGGGTCCTGTGTTTCCGAGCGTGCTGGGCTCCACGCCTGGCACATCTCAGCACTGCACTGCCCTGGCTAGGGAGCAGCAGCACCGAAACACACACGCGCAGAGCCCCCAGATCCAGCTGCTGTCGAGGGGCCCAGAGCAGTCCCCCGACGCCAAGCTGTCCAGCAGCACGGAGCAGCAGGGGGGCTCGACTGCAGCCGACAAAGGGGAGCTGGCCAGGGTCGGGAGTGGGATCTCGGTGATCCAGCACACCAACTCCCTAAGCAGGCCCGGCTCCTTTGACAAGCTCGAGCCCTTTGAGGGCAGTCCTGCGGTGTCCCTGCAGGAGCTGGACACTCGGAAGGTGTTGCCGATCTCCCAAGAGGAAGGCCACCCTTCTCGCGATCCGCTGCGTCCCCTGCAGCCTGCTCCTGCAGGCCCCGTTCAGGGAGAGCTTCAGGAGGGTCCCCGGAAGTTGTGCAGTGAGCGGCATGTTCTGGGACAGCCCTCGAGACTGGTCCGGCAGCACAACATCCAAGTGCCGGAGATTCTGGTCACGGAAGAGCCAGATCGTGACCTGGAAGCTCAGAGCCACGATGCGGAGAAGTCGGACAAGTTCAGTTGGCCTCAGCGGAGCGAGACCCTGTCCAAGCTGCCCACCGAGAAGTTGCCTCCCAAGAAGAAGAGGCTGCGGCTGGCGGAGGTGGAGCATTCCTCCACGGAGTCTAGTCTTGACTCCACGCTGTCCAGGAGCCTCAGCAGGGAGAGCAGTCTGTCGCACACGTCGAGCTTGTCGGCCTCTTTCGACATAGAGGACATAGCGAAAGCAGAGGCTCCCTCCAAAATCGACTTTCTAAATAAGGCCGAGTTTCTTGTCATCCACTCGGGCTCCAATACACTGAGTGTTCCTGGAGGGCACCGGGAAATGAGGCGCGCAGCCTCAGAACAGATCAGCTGCGTGCAGATGTCCATGGAGGTCTCTGAGTTCAGAAGCAAGTCATTTGACTGTGGAAGCGTGACTCCTCCCCAGATCGCAGCACTGGCCGAACCGCAGCCCTCCTCCTCCGCTTCCAGCGCCGCCGTCTCTGGGTACGTGCCTCTGCTGGAGAGAAGGCGAGGTCCGCTGATCCGGCAGATATCTTTAAACATGGCTCCCGACAGCCAGCTCCCTCCTGCAAACCCTGCCTCTTTCCAAAATACTGCTCTGCCCGGTGTGAGTGCAGTGCCGCCTCAGGGCCCTGCCCTCCCCGAAACACCTTTCCCTGAATCCCCTGCACTCACGTTGCACTCCCAAACGCAGGGCAGGGATCTGCAGTCGGAAGTGCCCAAGTCCAGCTCCGCCAGCATCCTTCCCATCCAGCAGCTCTTTGGCATCAGTGTGTTCAATCACATCAACGCCCCCCCAAGCCACCGGGGCACGCAGGTGTTCCTGCAAGCGTCGGCTCAGGGTGACAGAGCAGGTGCCAGTTCTGCTTCAGCTGAGTCTTTGAAAAGTGAGGACTGCTTTGCTCCCAAATACCAACTGCATTGTCAAGTTCTCACTCCCAACAAGCTTTCCTCTTCACATCCTGTGCATCCTTTGCCAAATCAAGTCCTCTCAGATCCAGTTGGAACAGACGGCAGCACAACTTCGGCGGTGTTCCCAACCAAGCTCGTGGATCCTGTATCCAGTGCATCGTCCCCGTCGCTGTCGGAGTTGGGCCCGGCTAGCAGTCAGGCCTCGTCCTTTATGCTGGCTGCCCCCCTTCACAGAAGTGTCCCTGCCTACTGTTTTACTGCCGTGACATCTCTGCCACAAATCCTAGTGACCCAGGATTTGTCCATTCAGCCGATTTGTCAGGTTAATCATGGTGCAGTGCCAATCGGCAAAGAGCTAACTGTCGTGCCAAATTCACAAAGTGATCAGAATGCTTTGCCAAACTTGAAGAAGGAGCTTGTTTGTGAAAATGTTTTCTCAGAGATCAGCCAGAGTCCTGTTTTGGAATCTTTGCCTGTAACCCAAAAGATGTCTGTAGGTAGACTTTCTCCTCAGCAAGAATCTTCAGTTTCCAGCAAAAGGATGCTGTCCCCAGCCAACAGCCTGGACATTGCCATGGAGAAGCACCAGAAGCGGGCCAAAGAGGAAAATGGAGCCGTCTGTGCCCCGGAGGTCGGGCTCTTGGCACCGCTGAGTGGCAGAGCTAGCGAAGTTAGCAAGCACAAGAAGCCCGTGCTGGTCAGGCAGGTTTGTACGACGGAGCCCCTGGATGGAGCCATGTCGGAACTGGGGGTCTTTCCTCCAACCGAAGGTGCCGGTGACTCTGGCCACTTGACAAGTGTTTCGTCAGCTGATGATTCCTCCTCTGGTTACTTGAAGCTGGTGATTGCAGAACCTGTAAATGAACGCTTAGAACCTGAGAACCCCCAAGTCTCTGCCTCGTCAGCTCCCACTGCTGCAAAGCTGCCTGTGCCTTCAGAAGGTACCCGCGTTTCTCCTCCCCAGTCTGCAGATGGAGACCAGGAAAGATTGCCAGGGACTAAACCCGAAGGTGGTCAGAGGAACAGCCAGGCTCCCAGGCAGCTACCAAGGGCCACTGCTCCTCCATTGAGTGACGCTGGGGACGCGCAACCACTGGCTTTCCCCAGCCTGAAGACAGCCACCAGCTTTACATGGTGTTACTTATCAAGACGGAAGTCACTGCCCTTGCCCCAGCGAGACCAGAAGATGTCAGCCTATTCTGACTGGACCGTCAGCTCCAGTAACCCCAACCCTCTGGGTTTGCCGACAAAAGTTGCCCTGTCTCTTCTTAACTCGAAGCAGAAGACTGGAAAATCGCTGTACTGTCAAGCAATAACTACTCATTCAAAGTCAGATTTATTGGTCTATTCAAGCAAGTGGAAAAGCAACCTGAGCAAGGTACTTCAAATATAGTTTATCTTCAAACATGGCTTATGCAGATATTTTTGATGTGCCTCAATACCTTTCAATATTTTCGTGGGAAAGAGTTTAATTTTGAACAACAAATTGGGCTTGATGTGTGATGGGTCTGAAAGGCAAGGTGTTGGATACCCTGGAGACTTAACCTGATGGTTCATGTGGAGGCCTTCCCACGAGTATCACTTTAGACATTTTAAGATAACTTACATTTGTGGTAGCATACCCTGAGCAGTTTTTAAGCTTTTTTCTTAGCTGATTCTATAAGTATCCACATAACGGTGTAGAAAATTGCAGGATCATTTTGGACTTCCTTTTCTATTGAGGCGTCCTTGGTCAGTGTGGAGAGTGTGGTCGTCCACAGGATTGTGGATAATCAGAGTTGGTGGTATTTCTGAGAGCCGTTTATACACCTTCTGTGATTCTAACTCCCCCCTCCCCCCACACACAGCTTATTCCTAGTTCTTTTTCTTAGTAACTCTGAGAATCATCTAGTACAAGAGAGAAGATTCACAAAATCATGAACTTCCACGCTTGATAAGAAGATGTGGTCAATAGCTATTGGCTAATTTAAGGTCCTGAAATGATTATTTTGGCTTAATTTGTGAGATCAGCCACATTAGAATTGTTGGCTTTATAAAATGGGAAACATCAATTAAGCGATTAAGAATAAGTAAATAGTAAGTTTATCACATTGGACTCTGGACGTTGAGGAATACAGATTTGAGTCCTTGACTCACAAGCATTTAATACAGGTTTGTAAGAATTTGCACAGCTGTCAAAACAGTATCAGCATATGGTAGAAATGTGTGATTCCAAAAGATCTACAGTTGACCTTGCCAGCAGGAGAAAGAGGTGTGGCAGGTTCAGTGAAGTCTAAATGCTTAGACCCTCAGTCCATCTCAGAATGCTGGGAGAGAAGACCTAATTTTGAAAATGTAAGCAGCTTCATGCATGTTTCTGAGGTGCCTGTGAGATACGGTTCTGCTTCAGAGCCAAGTGCCTGGGAAGAAATTCCTGCAAGTGCGTATCTGGAATTAAATCTTATGGTGGAAGGTGCAGAAATGCTTCAGGCACAGGTAAGAGATTGCTCGAGGAGAGGCTAGGCTAGAACCCTGGCGTCTGTCAGATCTGAAGAAGTTTGCAATGAAGAAAGTCCTCCCGAAAAACTGGAAGAGATTGTTAGAGGAGGAGGAGCAGGAGGAAGGGACAGCACACAAACAGGGCAGACGGTCAGGTGAGAGGAGCGGCAGGAGTGCTGGGGAGGAGCAGAGCTGCTGGGCTCTGGGCTCTGCTGTGTGTGTCACGGAGTCGGGGTTGGGTGATTGTCGTCCACGACCCAAATGTGATGCACTTAGAATTCCAAATGGAAAAAAAAAAAAAACCAGGTAGATTCTATAAAGAGGTTTTTTTCTTCAAAGATTTGTTTCTTTTTTTATTTGAAGGGCAGATTTACAGAGAGAAGGAGAGAGAAAAAGTCTTCCATCCTCTGTTTCACTCCCCAGATGGCCACAATTAACAGAGTAAACTGAACCAAAGTCAAGTTTCTTTTGGATCTCTCACATGAATGCAGGGTCCAAAGGACTTGCGACATCTTCTGGTGCCTTTGCGGGCCATAAGCAGGATGCTGGATTGGAAGTGGAGCAGCTTGGACACTAACCGGTGCCCATATGGGATCCTGGCACTTGAAGGTGGAGGACTAGCTAGCCTATTGAGCCATGTTACCCACCCCTTGCTATAAAGAGTTTTTAAGGGCCCGGCGCAATGGCGCAGTGGTTAAGGTCCTCACCTTGCACACCCGGGATCCCATATGGGCGCCGGTTCTAATCCCGGCAGCCCCGCTTCCCTTCCAGCTCCCTGCCTGTGGCCCGGGAAAGCAGTCGAGGACGGCCCAAGGCTTTGGGACCCTGCACCCGCGTGGGAGACCCGGAAGAGGCTCCTGGCTTCGGATCGGCATAGCATCGGCCCGTTGCGCTCACTTGGGGAATGAATCATTGGACGGAAGATCTTCCTCTCTGTCTCTCCTCCTCTCTGCATATCCGCCTTTCCAATAAAAAATAATAAAAATAAATCTTTAAAAAAAAAAGTTTTTAAGAGAACAAGACATCGACAAGACCTAACCTCAGAGTGGTCAAGGGAGTGAAGCCTAAGAAAATGACAGTGTATTGGGTATTTAGCTCATTGCTTACTGGCAAATAGAAGCTGACTTTGATAATAGGAAAGCAAGCAAAAGTTAGAGGGAACTTAAATATGGTCAGAAGGTGAGCAAGAGAATTCTGTATATTTCAAATCATGGGGCAGCCCAATAGTGGGTAAAGATGCATCTTTCCTCTGTTGGGGTGTGGGTCAGTGTGCCTTTGCACTGTCCCCGAGGACCCTGCCTGCTATATCAGTAAGCTTAGGGGTCTCCAAGGTGCTTTTTTGAGCCCGTGCAGACCCTCTGTTTCATGGTACACACTGGCCACTCACTGTTGTTAGGTCATCTCAGTCTGATAGAGAGCTGTCAGTTTGGCAGTGTACTTGCTGTAAAGAAAGTTGGCATAGAGGTGAGAGCAGTGGCTCCTCTGGTTGGAGTGTCAGGGGCCTGGAGCTTGCGCCTTTGCTGTCAGCATGTTCCCTTTTTCAAGGACCCACCCGGACCCTGAGCGTGTCCTTTCTCGCAGGGGTGTGATTTCATTGAGCTGCCTACTTCCCCGGGGCCTGTGGGACTGGCCTCGTGATGGGTGAGGAAGCATCCCATTAGCGGTGCAGTAAGATCCTGCATGCAATCAGGGCATGCTATTATTCGGTTGTTCCTGTGGGAAAGCTGTGGAGTGTAGATCACTTTGCTCTTCTAGTCTTTTCCAGAATTGTGCTTATGTGGCCAAAACAGCTTCTCAGTTGATCTGGCTCCCACAGTTTTCAGAATTCAAGGAACTTTCGAGAAGACAGAGAGGCATTATCCTTGGGCTTTAAAATGATGGGAAGGAGGAGAAGCAGGTGTCAGGAGATGCTTTTCCTCCGAAATCCCTAACTGGGAGGAGATAGGAGATCTTCCATGACAAATAGGTAGCAGGAGGCCCAACTCCTAAGAGGAAACTTGAAGAATTATGCTTCAACTGCAGGAGGAGTGGTAGGTTAAATACCAGAAGGAACATCCAGTCCATTTTCAAGCCTGTGGTGCACTCTGTCAGGGTGGATTGTGGGCACCAGTGAAGTGTGATTGACTTCTAAGATAACATGAGATTGATCATGCTCCTGTGGCTTGGCAGGTTAATGACGGGAGGAGATTGAAGTAAATGACCTTTGAACCTGTTATTTCTTGGAAATGCATTGCCTTATTTTAACTGTATCCTCTCTTCTCTGCCATGTTTTGATTGCCAGTGAAACATTAGCATGTTTGTATTTTCAGTTTTATTAAATTAGTTTCTCTTTTTTTTTTTTCCTTTCAGAGAGCATTAGGTAATCAAAAGTCCACACTAGTTGAATTCAGCAATAAAGATGCCTCTGAAATTAACAGTGAGCAAGATAAAGAAAATTCCCTAATCAAAAGTGAACCGAGAAGAATTAAAATATTTGATGGAGGGCAAGTACAAATTTTACTTCTTAAATGTACATTTAAACTTACTTTTTAAATGTACATTTGTTTTTATGTGAATGAAGATTTATCAGTAGCAGTTTCGGATAATTGTTGCTAGATTTTTCAGCTCATTCAGTAATCCTCATGGCAAAACTCAGTACCATGTTGATTTAGGATATACCGTCGGGCAGTGAAGACCCATGCTTTCAGAGTGAACGTGGGTTTCATATTAATCTACAGTTGGAGTGGCATGGAGTACCTGCCCTGAGACTTCGCTGTGGGTTTGTGTGTTCTGTGCGGGAAGAGCAGCCGTGGAAGCCAAGTGTAGTCACGGTAAAGCTCAGAAGGCACTCGGTACTTACGGAGTTCTGCTGGAATTGAGTAGTGACAGAGAATTAAGTGAGTGACAGACTAGGGAAATATCTAAGTTTAATGCAATATTGAACATTTGTTTGACAATATTATAATAGCAGTACAGTAATTAATATTAGAATATTGTATTGACGTGAAAAGCTGGAGCATTCCATTATTCACACTGTACATATAGTTTCTATTGAAAGGAAAAGCTAGTTGTGCCTTTCTTTAATTTATAGGTTGGATTTTAGTTCTTGGTGTTTTTCTCTCAAAGTGTCCAATCTCTGTGTTGATTTCTTTTCTTTAAATTAGATATAAGTCAAATGAAGAGTACGTGTATGTCCGAGGCAGGGGAAGAGGAAAGTACATTTGTGAAGAATGCGGGATACGCTGTAAGAAGCCTAGCATGCTGAAGAAGCACATCCGGACGCACACGGACGTGCGCCCCTACCACTGCGCCTACTGCAACTTCTCCTTCAAGACGAAAGGTGGGACACGCCCACGGCTGCCTGGGCCTCTCCACAGGCGTGTCAGCGCAGCCCCGTCTTTGCACGTTCTTTGACCAAGATTACGGTAGTTTAAATACACTAATTGAATGCTGGCTTCTCAACAGTGTAGTCTCCCTTCTGTGCGTGTTTCTAGAACTCTTGGGGAAAAGTTTCTTCATTGAGTGCTTTTAGAAAGTATACGCCAAGTGTAAGGTTTTCCAAGGAGCAACTTGCACTGTATAGTTGCCTAACGTGAGGACTGATGTATTTCCAAACAAAATTTGGGGCTAAAGAAGAAAAAGATGTTCGTGATCCCGAGGAATTAATTTGGGTGCTGAAAGATGGAAAGAGTTAAAATATTAACCACAGTGAACTGCAGTGCTGATTACACTGGTGTTTTATTATCTATTTTTAGACACATAGAACCATCCTTTCCTTTTTTTCCATGATACAATTTTGTAATGCAAAAACTTCTGATTTTTGCCTTCAACATTTTTTGATACTTCAGTTAAATATTTACCAGGAGCTCTCAGAACTGATCATTAAAATTACATTTAGCCTCGTTTTGATGTTGAAGGTTTTAGTTAACTTTTAAGCCGTTGTTATTGTTGGTATCCTGAAAGCCCCTACGGGTTTCTGGGCTCACGGACTGGACGCAGTGCTGTCCAGCATCCAGTGTCTCTGGGGGCTCCATCTTCATGCACCACTAGGTCACCACGTGTCAACTTGAGATTTTAATTTCACGTACTACCCTTTAAAAAGTAGGAATCTTTCTTCCACAGGACAGTGTAATCATGGAAATGTATGTTTGTAAGGATTTTTAGTGAACGTTTATAGAAATTTCTTATCCCTTTTGACTTATTTGCTTTTTTTTCTGATTATGTTTGCCTTTGCAGTTTTTGTTTTGTAATAAGATCAACATTTTGGCAAAATTAATTGTGTAGTTTTTAATCATAATTTATTGGCATATAAAGAGAGGTGTAGATTAGAGTAACAGGCTAGCTTCACATTTGTTCTTTTCAAAAATGCCAGTAGAATCTGAAATAAGAGCAATGGCTCAATGAGATGTTTTCCACACAATTTTGAATAAGTCAGAGGGACCCTGAAGACTTTATTCTGTAACTGTTGGGTTGACAAATGGAGCCCCTCCCTCGAGGGCACATTCCAGCAAGTTCCGGCTGCTTTCCAGGGAGGGCTCCAATGGAACCACGTGCTTGGTTCTTCCATCCCACATCATTACTGTTTTGCTGGTATTGATGCTATGATTAAGAAATAGCTATTAATTTCCACAGTAAGGCCAGGGTCATACTTAAAAGGCTGATATTATTAATAAAGTATTACCAAACTGTAAGAAATGGATGTTGTTCAATGAAGAATTTTAAAAAGAAGTGTATTTGTTTTAAGTTACATTCATCAGATGAGGGCAAGAAAGAAAGGACAGCCTAGATGTGGAAAGCCAGGCGGAGCCTGAGAGATTGTCTTCTGGAAGACAAATACTAAGTTGCCAAGTTGTAACCCTCAGAGAGACAGCTTGACACTGAGTCTCTTCTTTGCGGGTGGGCAGAGCAGAAGGACCCTGAGGAGGGAGCTGTGGTCTGTTGGCAGTTTTCATGACTTAAACATTTCCCTAATATTCTGCATTTCTGAATTTCATTGAGTGTTTTGTTTTACTGAGTAAATCATGTGGATTGTGATGATAAACTTTTAATTGAGGCTTTCTCAGTTCATGAGACTGGTAAAGGAGATACCAAGAATTCACTATTTCCCCTTGTTGGCCTGGCACTTCTTGCTTTCTAGAGTCAGCTTCCTCTCAGCAGTGTACTTCTTGTGAATCTTTGTAAAATACATTCCACGGCACCTTTTAAAGGAAGCCGTGCTATATAGATACGCTCTACAAAGATGACCAAATACTGTTGGAGGAGTGAGCTGTCGTGCCAGAAATTGCTCCTTCTGCTGGCAGTACTTATGGGTCTGTAATTCATCATTTGTTCTCAGTTTATTTCATGAATGTCTTAAACATAATTTTAATTGGTTGATTTTCCTGATTCTGCAAAGTCAGTCAATAGAAGAGTGTCTGTCTCTGCGAGATGTAACTCCCTTTGTATCACAGAAATCTATACCACACATAGCTGTAGGAATCAAGAAACAGACCCTCTCGTGCTTTCCAGAAGATGAGGAGAAGGTTTATTAACTATTGAAAAAACTGTTGAAGTCCATATATACAGTTTCATAATATTGATAGGAGATATTTGCATAAAAAACTCTCTTCCAAGTTTGTCTCATTAGTAGTCATATATTAACTTCTTGGATAGCAGGCTGTCTGCTGCGGCAGCCTCTCTCGGAAACGAAAGTGTTTTGAAAGAGAATACGGAAGGGAAGCACTCCCAGAGAGTGGCTTTGCCTGTGCTCCTGCAGGTCTGAAACCTGGACCAGAGCTTCAGGCTCACAGCCACTTCCCCAAGCGCTGAGGTTCAGCCCAGCCCTCCCAGCACAGTATTCAGATTTTGGTGTAATACTGCGTTTGTTGGTGATAGTCCTGTGTAAATGTCACCTTTGAGATGTTTGGTATCCCCAGAAGAATCTGAGCTGACCGTACACTCATGAGCACGTGGGTCCCCTGCTCAGCTGCTAATGCATGGAGCGGTTGATGCATCTGCTGGAAGAACACTCCTTCAGTGAGACGATTATAATGCAAAGTGATCAAACATGGCTTTTTATAAGTGGACTTGCAATTTTAAAAGCTAAAGACTCAGTTACCAGCAGAAATGCAAAGCCAGCACTGTGAGCGCGTTGCTCACAATGTGCACAGGGAACTCAAAGCCAGGCGTACCCAGCAGCACAGCATGTAAGCCTGAGTCCAGGATAGGGCCAGAGGACCCTGACATCAGCCTGTCTTCTCCCGGTGACTTTGGCTGTGAGGAAGCAGGATCAGCCTGAATACAAAACCCTATACCAATACCATGCAAAGCACAGCCCAGCAAAAACCAGCCAACTGGCCCAGAATCAGTGGTCTGAACCGATGCAAATATTAAGACCCCAGGCGGTTGAGAAATTGCTCAGTGTCCCTATGAGTTAAGCTGACCACTCCGAGAGCGGAGCTATGGGTCCCTGCGTGCTCCTGAATCCACTCATGGGATCTGTGAAACCACAGTCTGTACTGTGGCTCAAAATAGAAATGGAGTTTGCCAGTGTTGACAAATATAGCAGCAAAACAATACTACATAAGCTTAGTAAACATCCTCTCTCTTCCCTCAGGAAATCTGACCAAACACATGAAGTCCAAGGCACACAGCAAGAAATGTGTGGATTTGGGTGTCTCAGTAGGTCTGCTAGAGGAACAAGACACGGAAGAGTCAGGTAAGGCTTTCGAACCTATTTTTCATCAATGCTATTGTCTTTGCATTTACACTCTTCTTTCTGTTCTTGCTCATGCTGCTTAATTCCTGGTTTCATTGCTCCTTCCTTGGCCTGTGCCGTAGCCTGCTGATCTATCCTCCCAGCTCAAGTTTATCTTCCTCCCCGGCTGTCTGCTTGCGGTTGTTCCGTTCACCTTCCCGCAGCAGGTGTCTGACTAGATTCCTCTGTTTCGGGTCCTCCCACAGAAGCTGTGACCCGCTTCCCCTTCACCAAAGCCTGCATGCCCCCAGCCTTCGCTTCCCAGCTGCGTGTCCCACTCTCATGCCTTAGTGCCCCCTGCCTGTGCAGCCCTCTCTCAAAACCCTGTCCCTGGTGCGCAGGAGAGCAGCAGGCTGACTGTGCTGATCGAGTCCCGCTTTCCTTGGAGGTGCTGCCCAGATGTGTCGCTCCAAGCCTTCTCTGCCTTTCCCTTCTCTTGCTGTTGGTGAGGGACAGTTTGTCCCTTCCCTGAGGTCTTGTCGTGTTTGAGAGTTTCTTCCCTCCCCACATTGCTCTGACTTTCTGGGCGGTTCCAAGTGCAGTTGTGTTGGCCTCACCCACAGCAGCTAGTACAGCATCCTGCACCCTGTGGCTGCTCTGAAAGTGCTTGTGGGTAAAACATCTGCTTCTCCAACGTACTTACCATTGTGATGAAGTTTCTTGGTTCTTTTTACGCAAACTGGCAACTCAGCACTTACATCTCTGACCAAGATTTTTGAGGGAAAATAAACCCGTTCATCTGTTGTGATTGATCAGAGAATAGAAATATCTTTTTTTAGAAAAAAGTCTTTTTTGATTCAAAGAGTTATCTGCCAGAGAGAATTAAAATATATTTATTCCATTTGGGTTTTTTTAATGTCTTAAGTTAAGCACGTGTTTTTCTTATTATGTGCTAATTTGGTAAGAAAAAATGACACCACTGAAAATGTAGGTAAAAAATATGAAATGCATCCTATCGCAACTGACAACCAATAGCACACCACGTGAGACAGCCAGAACTTATTCCTAAACATGCAGAAGTGATGCATTGTGTAAGTGCTGCGGCGTGATTCAGTTATAAAAAGCTGAAAAAAATGTGTAAGAGTTTCAGCAAACACATTCATTGCCCACGGATGATGGACGATCCAAGGTGGAGGTTTCAGATGAAACCTTGATGTCCGGAGAAGGTGTCCCTGTGCAAGTTCTGAGTCTGAGAACGCGTACTCTGACGGCTATCACTGCTTTAAGGCGAGACTCGCAAAAACTAGTGTGTCTATAGAGCCCGTCATGTCCTAAACTTTCGTAGGAGAATGAATGCCCTTTCTGTTAATTGCCATGCACTGTGTAGATTTCAATTGGCTGACAGATTGGCTTACGTATCCATCCATTAGTTTTGTAATTTCATCTTATTCCAAAAACATCTGAAGCCAGTCTTAGATCATAAAGTGAAATTGGTGACTTAATGCCGTTTGGAGTAGATCTTCTGATTAAACAAGTTCATTATGCTTGTTCTATGAGTTGGTTTTGTTTATTAGATGTGGGTAGAGTGTTCAGTTTCTTTATGATTTTTAATGAATCACCAAAATGTAACGTATAGGTGAAATTTTGCCAAAAGCTATGTCATATTAGGGACCTCAAATACTAATCCAACAAAGTATATTCCTCTCTTCTTACTTTATCACCCGTTTGTATTGTCAGTGCAAATAGCAAACAGTGGTTGTTTTAAATGCATCATCCTGTTTTCCTTTATTCCTCTCTGTCATGCTTTTAAAAACATATTTTGAGATTTTTTAATGCAAAAAAATTGCCGAGTACATGTATGCTTGTGTTCACACCAGACTTGATGACTGTAAGTTTTCTCTTAGATTTGCTTCATGTCCTCGTCATGATTCCAGGATACTTTAGAAAATATGAATAAACAGGCTTTGTGGGGCCTTACCGGTGCCGGTGCGGGTCCTCTCCCCGCCCTGTTACCAGCCTTCCGCCAGCCAGAGGCAGAGCTGCGTGAGTTAGGGATCTTCCTTTCGATTCATTGAACATGCCTATGCACCCCAGGGACTGGCATGTGGTTCTGTGTGTGTACTCTAAGTCTTTGCGAACAATACCACTTTATATGTAGACAACTGGAAAGTTTATTATATTCTGTGATTTTACATGATTTTCAAGAAGAGGTTTTGCATTTCCCTAGTTCCTTAATTGTAATTTGTGTTGTCACATTTTCAGTGTTTCGGTAGGTCTTTTTCTGTTTTCCTTTATTTGTGGTTTCTTGATTACTAAAGTTGGGTGTCATCACGCTTTTGAAGAAAATCTTGCCCCATTAAACTGACAACCGTCAGAGATGTGTCTTCCGATGGAGGGGAGGCCTAGGAGCCTGTGGCGCGTATGGGGTCTGCAGGGCCCTCTGTCCCACCCTAAGGCTGCCCATGCCGTGCCAGCCCCTCCCCACAACCCTTCAGGAGCCCCGACTGAGGTCTCTGCTTCTCTGTTGCCTCTGCTCATTGCCCAGCTCACTGTCTTACTCCATACTCCAGGCAGGTGCTGCTGACAGCCCCTTCGCACCATCCCTGCGTGGTGTTCCCTGGGTGTGTCACACAGGACACACCCCAGGCTCCTTCCTGGCCCCTTCCTCTAAGATGCACACCAGTCTTCTCTCAAACCAGCAGTTGCTCAGGTAGAACCTTGCAAGTTCTCCTTGACATTCATTCTTTCTCTTATCGCCTCCAATTTGGCCAAAGCTGCTCTTCCCTCCGAATATCCTGACACTCCGACTGTGTCTTAGCACCACCTGCAACCTCCGGCTCCAGGTCCCGTCACCTTACTGAGTGCTCCTGACAGCTTCCACTGAGGCTTTGTGGTTCAACTCTGCCAGCGCCACACTGGTTGCCACCCAGCAGCCTTGTCTCTTAAAAACAATGTCATTCCTTTATAACCCTCCTCCGTTGCTTCATTCAGAGCTGTGGCCCAGTACTCCAGGGTGCCCCCTGCCCACTCTCCTTTTCACTGTCCGAGACTTGGCTCCCGCTCCTTCCTCGCTCACTCTCTCAGCAACCACATCTCTTACCTACCAGGTCTGTACTGAGCTCGTCTCAGGCTTTTGCATCTCTTCCCTTTGTTCTACAACTTACAATGCAAAAGCTGCTTGTTCGTGGGACCCCAGAAAGCCTCCCTGTGTAAGAAGCACCCCTCTCTCTAGCTGCCTGCCTTACTGTATCCATTGTTTAATCCTGTGGCCAGATTCGCTCTTTGTGTTGTATATATTCATCTATCCAGCAACCAGAACATGAATGATGGAAGGACAGGGGATACTGTTTTGTCCCCTGCTATAGCTCCTGGGTATTGAGCGTAGCAGGCAGTAAATAATTACCCATTAAATGAATGACTAGGAAAGATAGCATATAATTTTATGGGAAATACTTTGATTTTTTTTAAGAAGTTGATACACTAATTAACCAATAAATTCCTTCACTAAAATTAAATGTTAGCCATAACTTCACACTTTAATACCTTTCCCTACAACTCAGTTCTGTGTTGTATGGGCCAAGGTCAATATAGATAATATTGAAGTAACCTTTGGAACTTGCCCCTTTGTTATTTATTGGTCATTGATCACAAGATCAGAAGATGGTTTGGTTTTTGACTGTGCATTGCTTTGTCTTGAGTAGTAATTTCTCCAGATTTCTTGTTTTAAGTGTCACTGAAGAGCAGGAAGAGAAGTTTTCTAGTCTTTTTGGAGCCTTTCAGCAACTATCCAGTGTGAATGCAATTCTTGTCCCAGGGCTGTGATCCAGGGGTGAGCCCGCACTTGGCAGGCCTCCCTGCCCACACCAGGAGTAGGGCCGGGTCAAGGGCAGCTAGATGGGCTACAGAGGGCTGTCCAGGGGAATCCCAGAAGGGCTGGAGGAGATTCCTTGTTTTTACAGTGAAAGAGTGCTGCTGTGGAGGGATAGGCTGGTTAAGGGAGGACAAAGGTGTGCAGGTTGAGAGAGAGGAATGAAACACAGGGACCTAATGTGGACAAGGCCGACAGGCTCTCATGTGTGGGATGGTGGTGTGTGCGAGCAGCAGGGCTGGTTTGCATCCAAGCCTTGCACACTGGTGCTGGCATGCACTCAGAGTCTCTACAGCAGAGTTTGCACCATTTGATGCTTCAGAATCATGCCTTCTTAGATATAATGTTGCAGTGTTCTCCTTCTCAATTGTCAATGGCATACAAATACTGTTTCCTTAAGGAAGTCTGTTTGGGTTGGGAGGTGTTTTGTTTTGTTTTATATTAGCTAAGCTCACTTAAAGCCATTGTCTTTTTGGAACCAGATTGTATACCTGACTTTTAATCTGGATTATCTCAAAAGTCCAAGAAACCCTAGGAGACAAAATGCAATAGGGCTTCTAATCTGCGCTGCTGGAATTTTCATGGTGAATGGCCCCCATTTTTGTTTGTTTGTTTGTTTTGCTGTCTCCACTGTTTTACAGTGGGAATTTAGACAGTAATCACTACGGTAAGCATGCATTCATAAAGTGGCCAGTCGCTTTGAACAGTCAGAGATCTCTGGCCACCTCCCAGGTCAGCATCCGTCTTTCTCCAGCAGGTGGAGTCTGCCCTGTGGGTGGAAGGGCAGGATGGTGCGTGTCTTTGCCTGTCATGTCCCGTGCCAGGTGTTTACATGTGAGTAATGGCTGGTTGGGAAGACTTGCTCTTCATTTTTCATGTTAGAGCATTATCTCTGCTGCCATGAAATTCTCCTCTGACGTAGTTTCACTCAAGAAGCAAATTTTCCCCATGGAATAACTACAAAGGAACACGAGGTCTTAACTTGTTCCTGCTGTGAAGTTTTTTCTTGTTTGTTTGTCTTTTGCAAGTCTTTAGAGCTTGCCTGGTTGCATGAAGGTGTAGCAAAGAGAGCAACATATTATGATGTCTTTCATTTTACTGCCTATTCTGTGTTCCAAGGCAAAATGCAAACTCTTAGACACACTAAGATTGG